GGCTTTGCTGGGAATGGCAACCAGCCTCCTGCACTCCACTGGGGCACCTCCAGGCTCTTCTGTGGAGCCAACAGCACAGAGGCCCAGTGTGCAGAGTAGGTTGCAGTGCTGAAAGAGGACTTTACCTCAGCTACAGATGTGCTTTTATTTTATAAACATAACTGTATATCAATACTATCTTTTTTCTTCTTTTTTTTAAATTACGTTTACTTTGGGTAAATTTTTATGACCTGAAGTTCCTGGGGCCTGCAACAATGCATTCACAATCTAACAGTTATTTAAGTTAGTATGTAATTAAAAAGTCAGCGAAAGGGATGTTTTCTGTAGTTAATCTGTTTTCACTAATTTTTCACCCGAAGGTAGATAACACAGATGCAGAAGGAAGACTGCTGCTAGCTGATGCTCTATGTTATGCCCACAGTTTTAATGCAAGAGCTATTGTGAATGCTGCAACATTAACAGGTAAGCAGTCTCCATTCCCTGCTCATTAGCAAGTCAGTTCTTTGTCACTGTCATTAACTGGGCTGTGAATCAGTTGAACGATGTATATAAAGCCAGCCTGAATTTGAAAGCAATTGAGATGATTTTACATGTTTTAGGACAACAGGTAGCACAGTTAATGCTCTAACAACTTGTACTGCTGCACCATGCCTCTAGGCGTGCAGGGTACACACTCAGCAATCTAGATGAAGTTCAATCAGCCCAGCTGAGCCAGAACTAAGAAGATCAAGAAAACCTACATAGACACTGATGTTTCTATGCAGTTTTTCCCAGTGCTTCCGTGTCTGAGTTAAGACTCCCAGCTCTGGGGGCTCTGTGATGCAGAGGTACTGGCATGGTTGTGGAAGAATCCTGCCAGCTCCACATGGCACTCACGATGCTGGAGCCAAAATAGCTTATTTGTGAACAGCTTCTTGAGTGTCTGAGCTCTGTGTGATCTAGCCAGCACCAGTTCTTCCATTATGTGAGGTAGCTCAGGTCTTCATGATTCTAGAAAATGGAATGGGAGAGTCATTATCATCTTCCCAAGAATTAATTTGACTGAAATATCTCTTACTTTCAGTTTGCATACTTCCAGGCATAATAAAATGTTCTTTAATGGTTTTATCTCTACAGTTGTATATGAGTGAGGTTATAATTTAAAGTTAAAAAACTGCATTGTGGATGCATCTCATGAACTGCAGTTTCAGGTTGTCATGGGTGAAGTGACTGTAGCTGAAATGAGGGCAAACATGGAAGAGTAGTTCAGAAAGGAGTCCACTGTGTTGCTTAATTAGTATGCTAAACAAAGTAATTATCTCTCTCTATATACTCCACTAGTGCTTTAAATTGTGTTCCATGAGTTTTACCAGTTCAAATGCCATGGAAAATTTCAATAGACAGAAGGGAAGCTGATTTTAAGATTATTGGCTTGTATAAAAGTATTCCCATATAAAGGGCATGATAGAATAAGGAGCTTACTCCCACTGGAGATTATTCTGTGTTTAGGCTCCTTGGGCACGAAGGAGGAAGGAGGAAAGCTGCAGGAGAAACTTGTTTGACATAACATTTTGTTAAACTACTACTTTTCTTCTTTTTTTAAATCTCATTGAGATTTTAGTATTGGTATTAGAGAGGCAGTTCTGTGGCATCAAATAAATAACTATGTACGTAATTCCTCTGGTTTAGGTATGATTTAGTGTTTTGATAAGGATTATTTTCATTTAAATTCACGTATGCTGTGCAAAAATCTATGCAAGTGAAATTCCCAAGAGGGGAAGTATCAGCTCAAAAATTTTTGAGGTATATAAATTGAAAAAAGTCCATTCATATTTTCTGTATGGAAACGATAACATTTAGTGTTGTCTTTTTTTTTGAGAAGACACTTATTACCGAATATGTTATATTAGACATATTGCTAAGAAACGTCAAGCTGAAAACAAAATCTAGTTTCATGATACAGAATGTATTTTTTATGAATTGTTGTCCTATTAGATGATGAAAAGGTTTAACAACATTTAAACTATTAAAAGTGCAGTTGTATTAAAAACTTTAGGTTTTGCAGACTTTATAAATTACTGATAATGGGAATTAAAAATAAAAAATGTTCTGTGAGGAATTAGGATGCAGAATACCTCAGGTCCGCCTTTGCCTTTGTTGTATGATGCTGTGTGTTTCTGTAGGTGCCATGGATGTTGCATTGGGGTCTGCAGCAACTGGAGTGTTTACAAACTCATCTTGGCTTTGGACTCACCTTTATGAAGTAGGCCATCTGCATTATTATTAACTAATCATATCTCAGTAATACCTGTTATCGAAAAGTTAGTGTATTACTCAAAGTCTTTATGAAAACCCAAATGGTATGTTATTCAATTTTGTATTTAATTGAAAATAATTAATTTGAATATTAATTGCTAGCTCTTTAGTGAGGTTTAGTATCATACAGCAAACATCTGTATCATCTTAAGGATCTGCATTTTCTGATAATTTACTGCATATGCATAAGCTCTGGACTACTGACAGTAATTAGGTTCATGTTAAAAAGGTAATTGATCTTGCCAAACAACACTGAGACAGAAATTCAGTCCTGGTGATTGGCTGGAGTGTGATGGCTAAAGGAAGCCTCTGCCAGGGAGGAAAATGAAAACTGAAAATAAACCCAGTGTTTAGATTTTTGCCTTTTGATTAACACTAAAGTACCTAAAAAGTAGGATTCACTGCTTTGTTTGGCAGTGTGTCTCCAAATACCTGACACTATACAGGGCTGAAGATTTTTAGACTAATCAAAGCTAAACAAAAGTAACCATGCCTGGTACAGGGGCTTGGGAATGCAGTTTAAAAAACGGGGAATAAAAAAATAAGAAAAAGAGAAAATTTTGCAAAAACTGTCAGTGTTTCTTTTTCAGGCCAGCATTTTGACAGGAGACAGAGTTTGGAGAATGCCTCTTTTTGACCATTACACAAAGCAAGTAACAGACTGTCCTCTTGCAGATGTTAGCAACGTTGGCAAGTACAGCAGGTAAGATGCATCAATATCCTTCACGTGCCCCTTCAGCGTATTCGCTTCACGTTTGTGCTGTTGGTGTTGCTTGGGAAACAATACGCTTCATCTGTTCCCCACAGATCTGGAGGAGCGTGCACAGCTGCTGCCTTCCTGAAAGAATTTGTGACTGCCTCTCACTGGGCTCATTTAGATATAGCGGGTGTGATGTCTAACAAGGATGAGGTGCCCTATCTTCGAAAAGGCATGGCAGGGCGGCCTACGAGAACCCTAGTGGAGTTTGCAGCTCGACTGAGTCAAGACAGTCACAATACCAAATAAAACACCTATTCTAAAATCATCTACTCTGCCTTAAGAAAAAAAAAAAAAAAAAGTATTATTCGTAAATGAATGTCCCAAGCATATTTTTACTACGGTAATGAACTACAAATGCTTTTTATAAACCATTACTTGGGTAAGAATATCTTGCCTTTGAGATTTGTCATCCCATATAATGCAGTTAAAAATAAAAAAAATATCCTGTTTGAAATGTTGAGATATCTGGTACCAAAACACAATGGTGGAGAACATCTGAACTGCTATCTTATATCTTAAGTATGCTGAATTATTGCAAACAATAAATCTCTTATTTGGGTGTGAGTTTTCATTGAGAATGAACAATGTCATGGAGATCATAGCTGTGCCTCAGTTTTGGGTGAATTTTAGGTTGTGTCTAAAGTAACTCTGCAAAGTTGCTCTTAAATATGCCATTCTGACATTTTTCCTTGGGAAAAACTAGAACTGCAGTTGGTGTCTTTTGAGGTGAAAAATAACGCATTTTTAGGCTGTTGCAGTTAGTGTGGTTAGCATGGCTTTGGCACTAAATTATGTAGGGAGTCTTAAACAAGTGCCAACAAGAATCTGTCTTGTCCCTGCCTTTCAGAAAAGAATCGATGCCCGTTAGCGTTGGGTGGGTTTTGAGGGGAGCGAGGCAGCAGCTCCCGCGCTGGTGCGAGGTGCTCGGGCTGCCAGCCGAGGGAGTTCAAACGTCAAACACACCTACAGGGCGGGGCGAGGTTTTCTTGAGAATTTGGGGGATGCCGGCCCAGAGAGTGTGTTTTTTTCTGTGAAATTCGTGTGTCACCGCCTGTGTCCAGCGGTGCCGAGCTGTTTCTTACCCAGGCTGGCGTCTGGGCGGCGCGGGAGGGCACAGGCTGGAGGGGAGGGTCCCTCTCAGAAGGACGGCCTTGTTTCCTCTGCTTCTCTCCAGCGCGGGAGGCGGCGGGGCCGGAAGCGGCCCCGCGGGAGCGGCACCGGTCCCGCCTCCC